TTCCGCATAATTTTTCGAGATCTTGCAAGCCGCAAATCACCGTAGGTGGTTTGATCCTGCCTTCGTCTCGAAAATATGTCGTTTGCTACCCCGAACGAGCCTTTTTTCGATTTTGTCAAACTTTGAACGACCATAACTTTGTGCTCCACAATCCGAAAATCATGAATTTTTTTTTATTTCGCATAACTTTTTAAGGGCTACAATTTTTATCATAGACATATTTTCGGAATGTACTTGGATTCCTGAAAAGGAAGGTAAAGTTATTCCCAAAACCCCTTATATCCATAAATAATTCATTTTTTGAAAATTCTCTCCTAGTAAATATTGTAGTCCTTAAAAAGTTATGCGAAATAAAAAAAAAATTCATGATTTTCGGATTGTGGAGCATAAAGTTATGGTCATTCAAAGTTTGACGAAATCGAAAAAAAGGCTCGTTCGGGGTAGCAAACGACATATTTTCGAGACGAAGGCGGGACCAAACCACCTACGGCGATTTGCGGCTTGCAAGATCTCGAAAAATTATGCGGAATCAAAAAAAATTTCGCTACGATCGGATAACCGAGCACAAAGTTACGTTTGTTTAAAGTTTCGACGCAGATCAGGCCTTCACCGCGGCCGTGTACTGCAGTGATGCAATCACTGTCTTCGTCGACAGCGGTGATGCAATCACTGTCTTCGTCGACAGCGGTGATGGCCCAAACTAACGTAGATTGGGAATTATTTTCATAACGTGTGTATTTTGATAATTTTTTTTAAAAACATGTGTAAATTGGGCTTTTTTCCACGAAAGTTTTGGTTTTTAATAGCAGACTTGTCAGGAGGGCAAACACTTTGGGTGGTCTCACGCAAAAAAAAAAAAAAAAAAATGGTACCCTAGCTTTAATGTGGTAATTTCACCAAGAGCATGAAGAGTGGATTAGTTTATCAGTGGATCGTGTTGTCCGATCATCCATCCCATAAATGAGTTTCTTTGGTGGTACCCTAACTTAATTATCTGCACGTGGACAGTGGCGTAGCTAGGATTTATTATAAGGGGTGCCAAATTTTTTAAATAAATATATTTTATATGAAAAACTATTAATTTTTGCAATGACTCGCAACGTTTTTCTGCTCTAATAAAACTTGTATATTATATATATTTTTCATCTAAACTATCAAAGACCTTATTGTTAATATATCCTACCGACTAGTGCTTCATAATTTTGTTAATCATTCCAATCCATGGCAGGTTACGGTAAAGACTCTCTAGTGCTCATGGATAGCCGATAAAAGTCACTTAAATGGAAAGGTAGAGTTGAGCGACTTAGCATTCATATTGGAGAGGAAATTTTTGAATGGAATTGAACAGGGAAACATAGTTAAATACTACCAGAATAAGTTCACCTAGTGATATTGTGACGATAAAAATGTGGTTCCAATTTCCATGTACAAGGTTTTATTATAAACATTATAATATACTATTTTAAATTTGTTCTCCCAAACCGGCACCCCCTCCTAATAAGTTGCCTCCGCCTCTGCACGTGCGATGGGGCTACTAAGTGTGGGGGGAATGATTATCGAGAACCAATTACACAGAATGATCCTTCTGGCAAAAGGGGTGCAGTTTGCTGATATTGACGACCCTATGGTAGTTGAGCTCCTTGTTCTCCGCGAGGCTATCCTCTGGTGTTTGGAGAATGGGTTTGCAGAGACAAGTTTGGAAGGGATGCTAAAGTGATCATTGATAAAGTTAGTCAGGCAGATACCCGGGATAATCGAGTAGGGGTCATCCTTGAGGGGGTCGTTACGAGGTATATCGAAAGATGAAACATGATATATGAAGCAAGAGTTGTTCCCTTAGCCAAAGTGACTTAAAAGTATGATCCTAGCACTAGTATATTATTTCCATGTAAAAAGTGGACAAGTACTAGATACAAACACAAGAATTGTTCCTTTTATCCAGATAACGTATAATATTATAGTCCAATAGTGAGTTGATCGTATTTATGTACTTGTTTTGAGAATAAGTTTGGACTTTAGTAATTACTTTGTTTCCTTTTAAAATTTAGTGAATATCTTGTCATGTTCACTAAAAAGTTAAGTGAGCATTTCATCTTTTAATCCCATTAATTTGATTATTTTTTGCAAGAAGTTAGACATATTTGTGTTTGCAAATTTTCATTTCAAAATCAAATTAACCTCAATTTTTGTAATTGGGTTCACAACACTTGATTTATAGTTCAAACATGTTGCACCCTTATAATTAAACTCGATCAATATATGAATAGTGAAAAGAAGTGTAAATGTGTGTATATTCAAAAGAATTGCATTAAATATCTAGAAGACCTACACTTTAAAATGAAATAGCAAAGCAGCCTGTAAACAACCATAAAGCCCAACATCACCAAAATAAAAAATGGTCCATTTTCGGGAGGCCACAAGCCCTTGCTGCCTCAACAACCCACTCCCATCCAATTGACAATTTTGCCCTTTCCTTGCTCCCCTCCATACTCATTGATCAAGAAACACTCAAATGGGTACTTGAACAAGCTCAAGTAATGCATGAACTTCCAATGCACAGGGATGTCATCTTTGGCTATAAAGTAGCTAGAGAAGAGGAAGAAGGAAACCATGAGCCCTGAGATCACCGATGTCCCCATGATGATGAAGTTTTGGACGAGGGCACTGAAACAAACCATAAATGAGTTCAACGTTGAGATGACAGTATAGACTACGAGTGAAAAGTAGAGGAACCTATCGACTTCCCTTCTCAGACAGACTAGCCAGTACACCGAACTGGTTTACAATAGGGTTGCCATTGCAAAGAAGGGGAGGAAGATGAACGTGTTTGATAAGACGTAGAAGAAGACTTTACAAGCACAACTCAAAATTTATATCACTATGCATATAAGCAATATGTCTTTTTTTATGCCGTTGTTTCGAAATCAAAAGTCAATAATTTTTGTTTTATTATTTTGAAAATTTATACTTATGAAAAATTTGTGGAATTAAGTTTTTTTTGCCTAAATAAAATTGTTCACTAGTCGGAGAAAAATCATGTGTATCATGTCGACAGATTGACTTTGTATTCGATCCATTTACATTTAGAGTTGATCGAGCTTAATAAGACTCGACTTACCTCGTGTCATAGATCTAGCAACTATGATCAAGTTAGGAGGTATTTAACTCATGTTATCATGTGCAGTAATAAGTGGTTGTATCAATTTTCCAAATCTTTTGAATTTTCCCACCATTGTTCAAAAATATATTAAAAGGGATTAAGATCTCAATCTTTAATGGTGTTACCAAGTACACAAGTTTTTCACTCACAATTCTTTGTAATGCTTGTTGGTGTTCCATCTATTCGTCTTGAATTCTTCAAATTTTACAATGTGTCAATTATCTCTATCAGGATTATTAGCAATGTACACCAACATATCATTGTTGCATCAATGACCCGAGATGTTAAAGATTTGAATCCGACTTTTTGGACAATGTTGATTAAAACAACAAAATCAAGCAAAAAATCAAACACTAGAATATGGTAAGGGCAGAAGAATGCTATTTGATGATAATCGATTATTAGATAGATGAGAAACACCAATAAATTCAGTAACTGAATGGAAATGGAACACAATTACATTAAACAAATTAAGAAATTATAAGGATTCTAATAAAATAGTTCTTAGTTCAAGGGACTGCAAAATGAAACATGAAAATTTTAGTGTCTAAATTCGGCTAGCGGAAAAATTAGAATCAAGTAAAATATGGGGTTAATTGCATGGTTGGTCACTGAGATTACAAAAAACGTTCATATTTGGTCACTGTAAATATTTAAATCCAATTTTGGTCACTCAAATTAGTTAAATGGTTCAAGTTTGATCACTCTCCGTACAACTCCGTTAAATTTGTCTGATGTGGCAGTCAACCCTCAAAGTTGATCGTTAACTCAGTGACGTGGCAATTAAAAAATAATAAATAAAATAAATTTTAATCTTCTATCCTTTCCAACTCATTTTCACAATAAACAATAAAATAAAATAAATAAAAGAAAAAATATTATAATTACAAATTGAAAAGGGGCTTATCACCGACGACGACAACAACCACCACCTCTCCTCCGCCGCCGATGACAACAACCACCGCCTCCGCCGCCTGTACCAGGACCTCTCCACCATCCTCCCCCACCGACTCGGCCCCGGCGATCTCCTCTCCAAGGACGTTCCCCTGATCCTCGAGCGGCACAACAACGATCTCGCCCTCGTAATTCCCCCCTCTCCCTCTTGAGAACGGAAACCTAAATGGCGGCGGGGGAACCACGGCAAGGAGGAGGATCACTAATTTTGTTCGAAAGAAGAATCAAAGTAGTAATCACTTATTGAAATGGCGAAAACACAGAGCAAATAAATCTATATCCAGAGACAATAAGAATCAGAAAGGAAATTGGGACGGAAAGGGATCAAATGGCAAGAGCAAATGCCAGATGAAGAGAATCAGTTCCAGTCAATGATTATCTTCTCAACCAGGATGTTCAATCCTTCCTAAAAACAATAAAACAGCAGCACCAGTGGAGTAACATTCAGATAGCTTTTCAAGTATGTAGGAGAAGACGGGAGCAGCACCAATGGAGCACCATTCAGAAATTGGAGCAATTCAGCTTAAGCCCACAATAAGTCGCATATCTAGGATCTGGGGTTCGTTCAATACAATTAGAAATGAAATGGGAAAGTTGCAAAATCGAAAATTGTGATCTCCACAAGTAAAGCTTAAGCGATTAGCTACTGCAGGAATGAGGGGGGGGGGGGGAGTATGATAAAAAGGGAATAAGTTGTGGTGGCGTGACCTCTCAGCGGTGGCGACATTAGTGGAGACGTCATCTGTGTGCAGGCGAACTGCAGAGATGAGACAGTCACTTCCCTGCTCTTTCCCTTCTCCATCGCTTCCCTAAGAATCGCACAACGGTTTTGATTATGCCCAGCGGCCCTCGCTCTCCTTTTCTCTGTGTCTTCTTTCTATCGCCTATGTCGAGTTACGCAGAAGCAGCGAGCGAGGCGGCGGCTAATGGAGATAAGGGCGAGATCGTTGTTGTGCCGCTCGAGGATCAGGGGAACGTCCTTGGAGAGGAGATCGTCGGGGCCGAGTCGGTGGGGGAGGATGGTGGAGACTGGAGAGGTCCTGGTACAGGCGGCGGAGGCGGTGGTTGTTGTCATCGACGGCGGAGGAGAGGTGGTGGTTGTTGTTGTCGGTGATGAGCCCTTTTCAATTTGTAATTATAATATTTTTTTGTTTATTTATTTTACTTTATTGTTTATTGTGAAAATGAGTTGGAAATGGTAGAAAATTAAAATTTATTTTATTTATTATTTTTTAATTGCCACGTCATTGAGTTAACGGTCAACTTTGAAGGTTGACTGCCACATCAGACAAATTTAACGGAGTTGGACGGAGAGTGACCAAACTTGAACCATTTAACTAATTTGAGTGACCAAAATTGGATTTAAATATTTACAGTGACCAAATATGAACGTTTTTTTAATCTCAATGACCAACCATGCAATTAACCCAGTAAAATATTCAAGTGTTCCACAGACGGAGAAAAGAAAAATTGGGAATTAAGGGGAAAATAAAACAGGGGCGATCCCTTTTGTAGCTCTGTCTCACATGCCTTCTCTCTGCAACGACGACGAGGAGGAGGCCTCCATTTCAGCGACAGAGGAGCTCTGAACATATATATATTTTGCGGCTGAAAGGATCCGAATTACGCCCGTCCTCTTTCGCCTTCGCCCTTCTCGTCGATTCAGTCATTAGCAGGTAACACGAATTCTCGTTCCCATCACGATGCACATTTGCCTCAACATTTTCCAATTGAATTGGTGGCGGGGAACAGGAACGAACGCTAGTCTGTAGCCACCGCTGGTGGCGGTTGTAGTTTCGTTGTCATTTACTGAGAAATCTGTCGCACATCGCCCGTCATAAGCTTTTATTGTTGTGTTGTGCCATCACTTTACGGTTACCTCACACTCTCATTTCACCTAACGGCGAGCGCGGGGAGAGGGACGGGGGGCATGATGATGTCGAATTTCTCCTGTCCGCGTCGCTGGCTTTGGGGTTTTGGCTTCTAATGTGGAATAGCGTTGTTGCATTGTGTGGAAATGACAGAGAGACTTTTTTTGGCAGTCCCCCCTTTGTGTTTGTGTTTCTTGTTTTAAACGGATTTTCTCTAGATCTTTTCTGGGGTTAACTGAATTGTCTAAAATTCTTTTTGCCCAGAGTTTTGTACTTTGAGGGGGTGCAATATGAATTGATGGAGATCCTTTCATGGGTCATGAGTTTGATTCGATAAAACTGGAGAATGGGCGTATCTTGGAGATATTCCGCTTGACATTGTGCCATCAGTGGTGGTAGGGTGTGGAGGAAGAGGCGCGTTTGTTGCTTTTGATTCGTAAGCCATGACAGATGCAGCAGGGTTAATGGAGGCGGCTGGAACTAGGTTTAGTTCCTTGGAGATGATTGGCAGAGGGTCATTTGGAGATGTTTATAAAGCGTAAGTTACGTGCAAATCTTGTGCCTTGTTCTATAATGTGGTGCACATTTTCTACCATGTTCTTTAATTAAGTAGTTGAGTTGTTCTCGTGCATTTTTAGAGCTTGCATCTGCAGATGATTGCCTGGCATTTTTATTAGCGATCTACAACAGCATACAGAAGTTAATGTAGCTTGTTATTTGTTAAGTGTTTGGAAAGAAGAACTCTTCTGTTTGGGATGATAATTCCATGTCGAGCTTATTGTGAGATGTTTCATAAAAACAAGAGTAGAAACATCAATGATGATGGGATGTCCAGCACCGTTGGTTCAGATTTGTGGATTAAGAGTGCAGATATTAAGGTTTTCGTTTTGCAAGTTGCGACCGTTCTCTGTGAAGAAACTGCTCTCTACCCTGATTATGCTGCCGTATACCAGAATTTGAAACTTGTCCTTATTTACTTCGTGGTAATATGTGAGGTTGAATCTGCAATTCCCTTCATTCTTTTCTGTTTCTTCATCTATAATCAGGAAGTGAGTGTAGAGTTAGGTTATTGAAGTTATTTGTATATTTGAAAATTTACTTTTTGTATTCCTCTATACCTATGTATTTAATTGCTGGTTGGATAGTTTTGAATGTTCTTTTTATATCAGATCTCTTTTTAATGCTCAACATCAGTAGCCATTCTTTATTGGTTGAAATCAATTTGAGCTTATCTTTTTTGTGCTCATAATTTTTATGGAGAAAGAGGCTTCTAGAAAAAAAAGGAAAACTTATTGAAGGATTGTCGTTTTCTCAATTCATCCAAAGCCATAATGGCAGATCATTGAAATCAATTTCAGCTTATCTTTTTAGTGCGTTCATATTTTTTATGAAGACTAGAAAGAGACTTCCAGACATTGAAGGAAAAATTATTGAAAGAGTATCATGTTTTCAATTCATCCAAAACCATAATGGTTAATCTTATGCTTGAGGATCTTTTTATTTTACCTCCTCTTTTGTCCTCTAATTTGATCTTACTTAAGATCTTTATCTTGACACAACTTTGTGATTTTCCAACTTGTAGGTTTGATAAGGAGCTCAACAAAGAAGTAGCCATCAAAGTTATTGATTTGGAAGAATCGTAAGTTACACGAATATGTTCACCAATTCTGCTACTTCTCTTTGCGCACTGTCTGTGGTTTCCTCTTCATTTGGAATTTAACGGCACATAGTTGCCAATGAAAGAAATTCTCCTTGGTTATCTGCTTTCTTAATTTTGAAACAAATGAATTCTTGATGCTCAAAAGACTTACATAAATCCTATGACGTTAGCCATATTTCTAGCCATAGAAGGTTTTACAAGTGCATGCTGACTAATCAGAAAATTATATTACCGTCATTTCTGTTTCCCTACCGAAATTAGTTTTGGTAGATTAGATGGGGTAACAAGTAAATGAAACATAAATTATTTTTACGAAAAGTTTGGAATCCGTGATGGTTTGCTTGTCCATACTAGTTTTCTGTCACTGACAAATGCTTATGTGAACCTCTTTTTTCTAACATTTCTAAGCTGTTTTCTTTATATTTAATCTATTGCAGCGAAGATGACATTGAGGACATTCAGAAGGTAGTTGAATTTCTCTTTGTTTTTCTTTTAGTTATTGTTATGCCTGTTATACTAGTCGAGCCTTCTACTTCGTTATATGCAGTCAAATAAGTGGTTGACTTGTCGTAATGTCAAAATTTGACAGGAAATTGCTGTTTTGTCACAATGCCGGTGTCCATATATCACAGAATATTACGGTTCCTATCTTCAGCAGACTAAATTATGGATAATTATGGAATACATGGCTGGTGGCTCTGTTGCAGACCTTGTAGGTTACTCTAATCACTTACTTCTGTTGTTGCCTTGACTATAACATTACATCTTCTATCCAGGATTGCAGAATCTATCTCTGTCTGATTACTTTCCAGTACTTATAAATATTACACTTTTACAGCTTCAATCGGGTCCTCCACTAGATGAAACTTCAATTGCTTGTATTTTGCGTGATTTGCTTCATGCTGTTGAATATTTGCACAATGAAGGGAAGATTCACAGGGATATTAAAGGTTCATTCCCTTTTCCCTTTCATTAATCGACTGCTGCAACTTGAATGTGTGGTTTAGAGCAAGATGTCAAAATCACTAGAATTAGTATGATTCACACCCAAACCCGGATCTCAAAGCAGGAGTGTTAGCATCACTAGATTGGGTTTTAGACATCGAATTTTGGTTACTTCTCAGCAAACTTTTGGGACAATAAATATTTTCTGTCTCTACTAGATTGAGTTTAAGAAATCTTCTTGAGGTTCTATTCCCTTTTTTGGCAGCACTGTCCTGCTAATTTATACTGGTTCATTCTCTTTTTCCCTTAATTTATCGTTTTCATGACAACTTATCTGAATTTGAACAGCGGCAAACATTTTGTTGAGCGAGAATGGTGATGTCAAGGTATATCATCCTTTGCTTATGTAGCACTGCAAGATCATTAAATTCAAAACATATCTTTAGATTGCTATAATATGCACTGCCATATGCATATATTTCAGTATTTAATGCCTACTTTTGTGACCATGTGACAGGTTGCTGATTTTGGTGTTTCTGCACAACTTACAAGAACAATCTCCCGAAGAAAGGTGCTCCATTTTACACTTTAAGTATTCAAGAGTTTATTCATAGTAATAAGGATTGTGATACTTACGTGTTTGAACTTCGGGTGTTCTCTTACTACCCATTTTATGAAATTTTCACTGCAACCTTATTCATTTACTTATTTCTGTAGTTACTTTTTTTTATTAGTCCGTGAACTGATTGCTCGATATTTGCAGACTTTTGTTGGCACCCCCTTCTGGATGGCTCCAGAGGTTATTCAGAATTCGGAAGGTTACAACGAAAAGGTACTAAATAGCAGTTTAAGATTCTTGGGAGAAAAAGAATTTGGAGAAATGGGTTCATCTAATAATTGTGAGAGATTATTGAAAAGATCCACCTTAGAGTTGAACGTTGGATCATTCGTTCAGTTAGAGAGAGAGAGAGAGAGAGAACAAGAAAAGCAAAAAGCAGGGAGCAGATAAACAACTAGTTTCAGATATGCCTTCATCATATTATTATTTTATTTCATATGAAAGGTATCTACCTGAACCATCGACTTTCTGCAGGCTGATATCTGGTCTCTCGGGATAACTGCTATTGAGATGGCGAAGGGGGAACCTCCTCTTGCTGATCTGCACCCAATGAGGGTCCTTTTTATCATACCGCGAGAAAATCCACCACAGGTTATTTATTTTGCCCACCTAGTATTCCCGCAGTTCTTCTGTTACTGTAATTGTAATAATGAACATGAGCAATTACTTGGTACAGCTGGATGAACATTTTTCTCGTCCTATGAAAGAGCTTGTTTCTATGTGCCTAAAGAAAGCTCCTGCTGAGGCAAGTATTTGATTTCAGTTCTATTAAGTTCTTTTCGGTTTCCCTGCAGTGGTTGTAATTGTTTGTAATGGAACATTTCTAGATTAATTTTAACCGACTCTCTAGATTTTTTCCGGCCGTGACGATATACATTGTTTTTTATTTCAGAGGCCAAGTGCTAAGGAACTCTTAAAGCACAGATTTGTTAGAAATGTGAGAAAGAGCCCAAGGCTTGTTGAGAGAATAAGGTGTGATGTATTTCCTGCATGTCATTGTATTGGTCATCAGCACTTGTTTTCTAGGCCCTTATCTTTTATTTAATTGTTTTTGCTGTCTCATTTTAGCGTCTCGGTCAAGGATTGTTAAGGCACAGAACTAAAACATTGTGGCCTGTGTTTCGTCCCGTATCGCTGTATGATTTAGGTTTCTCCATTCACATTCTAACTTAAAGGATCCTTTAGTAACAAATATGCTTCAAGGTCAACATTTACGCGCAAGAAGCTTATCCGACCTAATGTTAATGAAGTTTATGTCATTTGGCATGTCCAAGCATGAATTATAAACTATGGGGTGTTGGGGTAGCAGCTTAACCCTATAAAAGTTTGACATGTCAGGTGGGACAAAGAAATGGAAACAAGATTTTTGGGTCATGCAGCATTATTCTACAACATACGCATGGCATTGATGCTACTCTTGTAATCTTGATAGGGAGCGTCCAAAATATCCAATTAAAGACGGGGACAGCCCAAGAAATGGTACCCAAGCAAGAGGCGAAGCATCTGATACTGTCAAAGTGACTAGGGATGTAAGGGCAGATGGAACTGTTCAAGCCAGGTCGGTTTAGTCTATATGTTCACATCTGAATGATTAAGTTTTGTTGTTTTCAGTGCATGATACTCCTAATATTGCAGTGGTTCAAGAAAACCCCTGAAAAATGCCGGGTGGGACTTCAGCATTGGTGGATCACAGAGTACGGGAACTGTTAGGAGTGCTTTAAGACCACCTCAGGTTAAAGAAAAGAAAGTTGATGCGTCATTTGATAAGGTCAGTCAAAGAGGGACTTTGGAGCATGGTAACCACTTGCTATCTTCGTCTGGGAATGCACTTCAGGAATCAACTCAACCTTCACGCATAAAGGATTCCCGGGAGCCATATTATACTGATGAACAACCAGATGATGATGTAAGTTTTTCATTTGCTGCATCTTCGAAATATTCTATGAGATGAAATTTAGACTACAAAGCCAGGCTATGTTAAATTGGTGTCATCTGCAGCTATATCATTTCGAAACTATCCTTTACACTAATAGACAACTTAATTGCATTCTATTATATCCTCTTATATATTTGTTCAACTCATACATTTTGCACCTCATTTTCCCGGACAATAGATTCTGCATTTATCTTTTCATGACTACAACAGGGTTTGATGAAAATACACCGCTAAAGGTTTAAAAGACTGATATGCTGTTTCAATCCAAAAAGAAACAAACTATGCTATTAACTTTATTGCTCCACTTTAAGCAGTCCTTCTAAATATTTGTTAACTGTCACTTATGTTTCTGTTTCTCCAAAACTGGTTACTTCTGAAGTTCTCTATCTTGAATACCCTGTACAGTTTATTTTGCTAAAGAAGCTATTTACAATTCAATCCCAGGATGACTTGGCTGTGAGTGGTTCTGGAACTATAGTTATACGAACTCCTAAAGGATCTCAGTCACCATCTTCTTTTCAAGATCAGAGTACTCTGGTATGACATCTATTCAATATTAGAGTAACGATGAAACTGTGGAACTGTTCATTTTAAACACCTGGCTGCGACTCTGTTAACATGTTTGTTATTTGTGCAGTCTAGCACCACATTAGCTTCATTTGATGATGCATCTACTAGTGGAACTGTTGTGTTCCGTGGCCAACATGATGATTCTGATTCTCCCCGGACCCCTAGATCTCGATTGGGGATACAAGAGAGAAGCTCAAGTGCTTCACAGGAAGACAGTGCTTCAAATTTGGCTGAGGTTTCATCTCTCTTTATGCTTTTATCCAATGATGCCATGTTTCAATGGCTACTGAATCACAATAATCACCAAGACTGTCAAGCTTAACAAGATTGTGTTAAAAAGTTTTAAGTGTATAATACGCAGGCAAAAGCTGCATTGCAAGGAGGAGCAAGGAAAGGGAATGCTAGAGAAAGGTCCGGTTTCAGCAAGGCCAACAATGATGGCCATGAAAGTAGGAGGAAACAGCAAATAACAAATAGCTCTGATTCTGCCAGGTATATGCAATATTCTAACAACGCTTTTCTCCCAAAACGAGTAGGTTTTCTTTCTAACATACATCACTTTTTCCTGTGAAGTTCTCAAGACTACCTCGATGCACAAAAAGCATTCGCAAAATCACGCCAGTCAAGTATTGATGAAGAAAGTGCGAGAGTAATCTCATCATCAGCGCCTCTATCAGTTTTACTTATCCCTTCTTTGAAAGAGGTAATGAACTCCTTTGACTTCCATGCTTTCTTGCTATTGGGTTCTTCCGGTTTTACTGTCTGTATTAGACCTGTTTTCAAATTTCAAGAATAACAAATTTGCCATTGAGAGGGAACTGCAGATTACCTTGTGGATCCCTGTTCTGGAAAAAAAGCTTGGCTGTATGTCCCCAGCAGAATGAAAACATAAGTATGAGAAAGAAAGATGGAGAAAATGGCTCAGAAGCGACTTTCAATGGGATCTAGATTTTTTTCCAACCTTTGTGATCAAGGGTTGATATGAGATGCTCCCTTCATCACTAAGGTTTGAAAGAATCTAGATCCCATTGAAAGTAATTGAGATGCAGCAGTTATTGTAAAAAGAAGATATGAGATGCTGCAGTGAATTATTTGATACTACAAAATTTGGTACTTCTTAAATGGACATGTTGCTCCCCAAAAATTGTTGGTGTAAGAAGCTTATTAAGGTTCGTTGGGTGGTGGAGTGTGAGAAAACCTGATTGTAATTGGAGGTGAATGTCTAGATGGATTGAGAAGTTAAAAGGTTTCGCGCACCAGAGGTTTTTGAACTGAATTTACTGCTCGTGCCAGAACTGAGTTGTCCACTTTTCAATTCCGAGTATTTAGCACGTCATTTATCCATATTTCTTATAACCTGACACTTGTACTGTAGGCAGCTGCAAATGGTTTAGAAGGATCAGCAGTGCATGCTGCTATAAACTCCCTTGCGAATATGGAGCGCATAAAGCCAGGGTCTTCAGAAATCATCGTCAGAAGTTTACTTCAGAGATTGGCGAGGTTTGTAATGTTACCCCTTTCCTTGTGGACGGCTAGTTAGTTTCCCCCATTCATACTGAACTCTTGTCACTGGATATGCAGCTCAAAGGAATCTTCTATGAAGGATCTTCAGGAACTGGCGGCTGCTTTGTTGTCCAAGGGCAAGACCACCGATGCTGAAGAAGCTCAAAATGCAAAGAGACAACAGCCCAAAGATTTCAACTCAAATGCCAGTTTAAGCCCTCTTGCGAGGTTTCTCCTCTCGAGGTACTACTTCTAGTCCTTAGTCCTCCCCTCAAAGTAATTAAAAGTTAATAAAGTGTTTTCATACCTATATCATAGTTAGTTGAAACTCGTCTAATACTCATATGGTACTCGCATAGTATGATGTCATAACTTACACGTACGTGTTTTAATAACCGTTCTCTCCCGCCAGTGTGAGCTGATGATCCCTGTTAAATGATGTGCAGATGGCAAGGTCGGGAGGTGTAAATCAGTAACGAATGGAGAAAAATGGGACGGGACAGGACAGGAGGGAAAACTCAACTCTGCTTCGGAGAGAGCCTTGAAATAGAGAAAGGCGCATGCTGCTCTTTGATTATTAGTTTGTTCATTATTTGTTGTAGCTTTTTTGCCAAGCAACCTACCTACCTCTGTCTAGCCATTCTTTGTTCTGGATTTCCCATGTACATAGACTTATCATTATTACTACTATAACTATACATATACCATTGTAAGGGGGGAAAGGAAAATTCATTGTTCATTCGTTGATTGTTAAGCTCAGTTTTTTCTAGGCTCCTTTGTTTGGGACTTACTAAGATTGTCGAGCTGCTAACCTTGTTGTGCAACGTAAGTATTCTGTAATTTTACATGCAATAGAAGTTATTTGTAGAAACTTCAATTGTTCGACTCAGATCTGACGTGTATAGAAAGAACAGATTACAATCTCTTATATAAAACTGAATGCACCATTTGTACACTACGGATTTTGGATGCACAAGGAATCGTGTTTGTTGTATACTTCCAGTGAATACATACACTCGAATGTGCCTAATGAATTAAGTATCAAGTTTCCATCTACATAGCTGTTCCTCGCCTTTCTTCCGCATTCCATTCTTGGAAACCTGTACTACCTTTTCTTGGGAGGCTGCCTCGAGGCCAGAGTCAATTTACGAAAGGTGGCATGCAAAATTGTGACTGCAAATCGAAGTGAAGAGAAACAGAATTAAGTTCCTAAAAAGGCAACGCAAATCATAGGATAAAGCTGCGAAGAGGATCACCAAGGTATATATATAGTTATATGCTGGGAAGGTAGGAGGCAGAAACATAATTTACCTGCGTAGCTGACCGCAATAGCACACAGGAGAGCCTTTTGAACATTCAGGATTATCAAAACAACTGCAGTTGCTGCAAAAATATAACAGAGAAGAGCAGAATGACAATGTGGCCGAGAAAAATGATTCATTCACTCTGTCAGGAACATTTCCCAGAACCAGATAGAAGAAAACAAAGATAAGAAACGTAGAAGAGGCAAATTCGAGCTGGGAAAAAGGAGGGGTGAAAAAGAAACCCAGTTTCGTATATCGCAGCATCCAAATACTGTTTTAGGCTGATAAGTGATAACACAAGCAATGAGAAGTAATGTGTCTTGTCAATGTACAAAGTATACAGCTGAGTCTGTCCTCTTTAACTTTATTGGTTCAGTTTATTGAAGAACACTGCTTTCAGATTACTGAAGCCGATTTCCACATTCTAAGAAGAACTAACAACAATATAAACTGAATTGTCCTATCCTTTCTATGATATTAAGAAACTGATGTAAGCCAAGGAAATGTTTTGTTCATGAAACTAAAAGTGGATATGCTCCAGTAGCCAAGTGGTATACAACACTGATTCAGCAAAGAAAACGACACATAACATCACTTATATATATACAACAAAAATGTCACAGGAGGACTGATTGTAGAAGATAAACTCGACAATGAATATTGGCAGTGGCACTCACCACATTGTGCAGCGCGAACCAAGACTTGTCGAAGTACAGGGTACCTATCCCATTCCCATCTTTCATTAGAAAACTTAAACATGTCCCAAACAGCCAAACACGAAATCAATCCGACGAGAGCCAGTGGCATTTGATACCTAGATCACAAAATCACAGAACATGCAAAGTTCAGTTCTTGACCAGACAATGTACAAGAATTCTTAACACATTAGATGAATCATCTACCCATTATCCACTGGTAAGAAATCCATTAATCAATGACATAAAAGCAACCAAAATCTAGTCTCTCATCTTAGCTGCAGCCTGCAGGTAGATCCTATAGCTCTCCCCATACTTGCCCACAAAATGGAGCAACCAATGGACTACGGGTTCAAAGTTTAATGTATCTTAAGCTATGGACAAATCCTGTGACCCTTCCTTCCTTCCCTTGCAACCATGGTTTCTAATTCTCATGTTTATTGAAGAAGCAAACACAGTAACCAGCATGGTAGATAATGCCATAGCGGGAAGGGATAACTTACAGAGAACAGGCGAAGAAGACGATGAAGAGAGTTGCGTAATTCCTGGCATAACGCTTTACATTCTCCGTAACCCGGATCCTGGCCTGATGCGATCCGGATGGAAACGAGTAGGACCCGCAATCCCCGATGAAGGCCCCGGTCCAGGAAGGAGTCGGAGCGGAGAAATCAGCGGCGGAGAGCTTCGAGAAAGGGTTGGTTGATAAGACGGAGAGAAGGACGGAGATGGCGGGAAACAAGGAATCGAAAAAGAATCCACCGGTCGGCGATGCGTGGTCGAGATCGTTGGTTGCTGCCTCCGCCGCCGTGTCGCTGGTTGAGGTGAAGTTGACGGTGGTGGCGGCCGTGGAGGAGGAGTGTTGGTCGATGAGTTCAAGGTAGCCGGAATCCCGGAGCCAGGACTCGAATGCTTCGTCGGGAACGCTTACAGACAAAGGATTCGCCGCGAAAGCCATTTCCCCCTTTTGCTTGCGATTCTCTTACCGGCGAGCAAAGATTAGGTCAAAGCGCGCACCCGCCATTTTTGCTCTATTGATATCCGCCAAAACGAAGCCGTAGAAGAAAACGACTGGGGAGAGAAATAAAAGTATAAAACGAGAGAAGTTAGCAGCAGACTGAGACCAGTACCCGATGTTTAACACTCTGTTTGGGAAGAGGGGTAAATGGGAGGAGGGTGCAAATATGAGGGGTAAATACAGTTTCCAACACATTTGCACCTGTTTGGTTAGTTTGGAACAGTAGGGGGGTGCAAAACGGGAGTGCAAATTTACTGTTTCGGCTTACCCCCCAAATTGGGGTGCAAGGGAAGGAAGGAAGAGAGGGGGAGGGGGGAATTATGGAATTTTGTTTTTCTAATTGTGTTATATATAATTATATAATAATTAATATTATCAATTTCTTTTTTTTATAAATATCATTAATGTAAACATTATTCGGGGTTGACCATTTGACTCTAGAAACAAGTTTATTCGTCAAGTCAAATCTAGATCTCTTGGTTGAATCGAATTTGCATTGAAAATTAGAGATACGAGGTGTTTGTGGAAAAGATAGAGAGAAATTGTTTGGTTAACTCAGTTTATTTGACTAAATAGTTAAAACTTACAAATTCGAACGTGTTTGACTAAGTTTGACAATTTAAGATTAAACTAGACACGAAAACCCTATATAGGATGACCAGTTACAAGTTGAGTTTCGAGTTTTGAGATCGCTGGATCAATGATTATACAATTGTCATAATTAATTATTATTTGAGCATTATTATATAATAACTATTTTTAGTAAAGTATATTTATTATTATATAGTAATATTTATTTTATTATTTTATGATAATATTTTAAAATCTTAAAATCTATTTTGTAATCTTAAAATCTATTTTAAAATAATATAATTACTTACTTTTCACTCTATTTGCACCCCCCCTACTTTTTCATCCAAACAACAATTTACCCCTCCACTTACACCCCCCAGCAATTTGCACCCCCCAGCAATTTACCCCCCCTTGTTGCCAAACAGAGCATAAGAGTCATTTCATCAAACACCTTTCGTTCAATCTGAACAGGGCTCTCATTCGCCGCCCTTATCCTCTCTCCCCGCTCTCACCAAGCCCGATTACCCCTTCTCTAGACGGTCATCCTCGCCTCCAACATTTTCTCTTCTTCTTCGCGTACGACATTCTCATCTGCTTCGACAGCAAGCCCGACCGCTTCAACCGACTGGAATTACCAGAGCTATGTTTCCGTAAGGATTCGATGCCCGCGGCATGCTTACGTAAGTACCATTTGACACTTAGACTCCTAATTGGGGTCGTTTTCCTGCTCTCCTTCTTCCTGCTATTATATGAGCTATTGTTATCGAAATCAGGAATCGTTTTCAGAAGCTCTGCTATGTTTTGGAGCAAGCTCAAGCAGCGTGGATGGTGATGGTGACAATGAAGAGGAAGGAGAAGGAGTTGGTGACAGTTGCTTGATATGTATCTGTTTTTTGCCCCACTACAGGATGTTCATGCGACTAATATGATCCTCAATCCTGGTCTTGCTTTTGGAACTGGAGAGCATTCTAATTCAAAGCTGTGTCTATATCTCTCAAAAGTTTGATAACAGGAGGAGAATGTTTCTTGGACTATGGAACTGGTTCTGGGATACTTGCAATTGCAGCGCTTAAGGTATAATTCATACCAATATTTCAGCTAAGTAATGCTATTATTTCGCTATCAGTCTATCGTTAGCTCACTATATGTGCTTGTAGTTTGGTGCAGCTAGGTCATTTGGAATCGATGTCGATGAGCAAGCAATCAAATCAGCACGCCGCAATGCTGTTCTGAACAACATAGAACCTGAGAAACTGAAACATGTGATGTTGTTGTATCCTCTCCTGGAACTTGCAGATGACATTGTCTCTTTTGCCAAACCTTGAGACGTTGTTGGGTTATCTGGGATTATGTCTGAGCAGGTATGCCTGAAACGCATGATTTTTCATTAGCAGTCAGTATCTAACTTGCCGTTGCATGCCATGCATTTCAAAGAGTGACTTTCACCTTTCTTTACACAGTGGTTGCCTCTTCAATCTTCCAATTAGCATTTTCTTGCTCAAATTCTGGCAATGCATAACTTGGAAAGAACTCTTCTTCTTCCTATCAGGGACTCGGAGAATTAGTTTGTGACAAACTGTTTGTCCAAGAAACAACTTCTTTTTGAGAGGTCCAATTAGGGATCTTACATCATTCCTTTCTTGCCCTTAAAACGAAAAACTAACTCTTTTTGGGTTTGAAGTTTGCCCTAAACCTGACAAATACCTTATCCTGTATCAATTGTCAATATTTGGGGGTTTATCAAACGTCAAACACACTATCTGGTACAATATAAAGAACCAATATTTGGTTCCTCAGATGGCTCTTTTATCTAACTTGATAATTGCTCAGATTTCTACGGTTTTGTGCTTGCTCTGATAAAGTTGTTCTTTTTCGGCCTTCTCCCTTTTACCCCTTTCCCCTCTTTTTTGCAGTTGCAGGTGCCACTTATTATCGACAAGTACTACCAGTTTTGGGAAGATCAGTCGGTTGTAGAAATGGATGGCTGGGCTTGTGTGAGTGGAAGAAAGAGAGCTCTGTCAAACCTGTGAGAAGGTGAGAGGATCCCTTTCTAATCACTGTGGAAACAGTACTATGGGTCAGGCAGAAAGCTTATAGCTTTCTCCCCTAATCATCTGTACAATACGTTTACTCTTTACACAATGTAAGTTGGAATTTCCAGATAAATTAATATTGTTAATTACACACATGGAATGGAATTAAGAAAAGAAATACACAGAAATTAGTCAGGTAATTAGTTAATTAATTACACTGTACATCAACAGGAAAGATAAAAACACAAGATTGTGCAGTAGGTTTCTGTAATTATGCCCCCTTTTAATGACACAGTAACTACACCAGCACTGCAAACACACAGCAGCACGACAATGATGTGGCCGCTCGTCTCTCCATGTAAAATGAACTTGTTTGGTTTCTTCTAGTTGGTATTTCTGGTTTGGGGTTATTGACATTAGAATATAACAATGACTAAGCTCTCTGTGACCAAGGAGCTTGCTTGATCGATTTAATATATAAGATGATGATCAATTATGTGATTTGATAATTAATCAATTAATTAATTATTTGATATATTACTGTTCTATGTTTTAAAAGGCGGGAACCATGGCTGGCCTTGTTGTTGTTGTCGCCGCCGGTGGTGGTGGTGGTGGAGCTTCCCCAGTAACGTTGTTTGCTGCTGCGGCCGCTTCTGCTTCCTCATCTTCCGACACCCACATGAAATGTGCGTAGGATCCTAAAACCATACTGCCCCAAAGCACAACACGAGAACAAAACAAATCAGGAACACCATATCCGAGAACCTCAGGGTTGGATCGCGGCGGAGCTATTCACCATCGGCCATATCCCTCCGCTCAACTCTCAAAATCATAGTTGAATCTCAACGTACCAATCGTTAGGGGAGGCAGAAGCAGCCTGATGGAAGTAGGTAAAAGCTCTTTGTTGATCTTTGTAATTCTCCCATATCAGCCTGGCGTACAGAGACAACACTTCCCCGTCGCCTGGACTCTCCAGCAACGCTCTCCCGTAGTATTCCTCCGCTCGTTTCACGTCCCCTTCGACCTTGGTACGTAAAATTTACGCGATGGTTACAGAATATACGTGCGATGCATAAATCTTAGTACGTAAAATTTACGTGTTAAGATCTATGTATTTTGAACGCGTTACCGTAAGTCTTACGTAATGGATGGTTACGTATTTGTTTACCTCGTATAGAAATTTGCCGTAGTTGCGTAAGAGGAGGGCATCGTGAGGATTGGATCGAATGATCTGCTCGTAATACTCAGCCATCCTTCTCTTATTGTCATTGTCACCGCCGTTGCCTTCTCCCCTTCCTCCGAACCCGCCGCCGTTGTTGTTCCCGCCATTGCAATTCCCGCCGTCCAACCTCTTCCCTGCCTCGCCGGATTCCTCCACCGGGATCCCGACCTCCGACGCCCACGACCCGGCGGCGGCGATCCCCACCCCGTACACGTCCTTCCTCACGAACTTCCGCCCGGATCTGGCCGCCGCGATCGCCTCCTCCTCCACGGCGGAGAGGGAGCACCGGGATGCGGACTGCGGGAGTTTCTTGTTGTTCATTCCTCCGCCGCCGACAGCGGAGGAGAAGTCGCTGAAGGATCGGGCCATGTCGCTCTCCGACATGGACCTGGTGATGGTGGCGCCGCCGCGCCGCGGGCTGCTGGCGATCTCGAGGTGGAGCGATTTCTTGTTGTGGGCGTTTGGGTCCCAGGCGAACATTCCGGTGAGCGAGTCATTGCGGGGGAGGGAGACCTTGGGGGAAACCGCCGGCGACCCGGCCGGGCAGACCGGCGGGTGGACCTTGTTCGAGCTCGTCCTCAACAGAACGGCTTTCATGGCTAATTGATCTACGAGAGATTAAAAGAAGATGAAACAAAAGGAAGTCTCGGAACCTGAAAATTTTTGGGTTTCCGATTTCTGTATATAGACGGAGAAGGAAGAATTTGGACCGTCGGATTGGCCTTCCGGAGGGACGGGAGATGGACACGTGTAGCGGATCCCACGAGATGCCTGTGCAAGAAAAAAGGCGGGAAAGGGGCGCGGGATAGTCGGGGGAGATTGTTTCATTATTTCTGGGGAATGCTATGTTTACAAATTCCACGTGTCTCCGAAGGACATAGTTTTTGTACGACGTGGCATGGAAGAAAATGGTTTTTTTCTTTTTTTAATATTTTTTTTTTTTGAAACTTAAAACCATTCCATTGAAATCAGACTGCAGCCTCTTGGGCAATTACATCAGCTATATGGCCTGGGTAACAGCCTTGCCATATTCGTTCTCCAGCACAATGAAACGGGAAAAAATGAGCAAGAATGTGAGCAGCCGTATTGGCTTCTCTGAAGACAAATTTCCAATCCAGCACATCAATCTCCATGCCTAAAAAGGCGATGCCTCTACACACATTCCCGATTTCTGTTCTGCTTTCCTCATTGCCTTTAAGGATGTTTATCAACTTCTTGCAATCAGACTCCACTTGTATGGTTCTCAGCCCCAACTCTTTTGCTTTTTGCAACCCAAACTGAAGAGCCATCCCTTCTGCAATGTCAGGGGGCCAGTTTGCTCTGATTGTTCTACTAGCTGCCACCTTCACATTCCCCTGCCAGTCTCGGATTATAAATCCCATTCCTATCTCCCCTTTACCACTACATCCTGCATCAGAGTTAAGTTTATAAACCCCCTCAGGAGGTTTTTCCCATTTACAGTTCTTCCTGTTAGCACTTCTGTTGTTGGTTTTCTCCTTCCCCTGGACAGCCACATAATCCTGTATATAGTCATCAGCTCTTGTGAAGACCTCCCATTCTTGCATCATCTTATTATTGAATAAACTGTTGTTTCTTTCCTTCCAAAAGAACCAAAGAAGTGAGCAGAATCTCTCAATATCCCCATCTTTTAATATAAAAGAAAACTGTGGATGCTTTTAATTCATGAATCATGATAAATCTAGATATTCGATCGTAGCTTATCAGCCAGAAAAATAGAGGAGATATCTCTACAAATTTCTTGGTAGTTTGATGATTTTTACTACGAGTGATAACATATTATATTAGTCTTAGATATACTGTCTAATATGTTTGTTTCTGTCGCTAATTTTTCATCTTCTAAATAAGGGTCAAGTCATCATAAAAACAAGATATTATGTCAGCATTATTATCTTTTTCTCCTTGATTTGTGATTCCCTTTTTAGTTATCTATGGAAAAATTGAACCGAATTCATTTATAGTTCACAATTCCTCCTTAATTTTCTTTGTGAGGAACGTAACGTGAATGAAATCTCAAGTACGATAAGATAAGTGATACGATCGATATACGTACTGTGAATGGTATATTTTATTAGTCTTCAAATAGTTGGATTGAAAGACAATAGGTAGTATGTCTTTCTCCTTATTATATTACAACAAGACATTACATTATTGCATGGAACTGCGACCAACCAACGGCAACGATCAGAAGTATTTGCCGGCGAGTTGGAGGAAATATTGCGACAGGAGACCAGGTTGGGAGAACATGACCATGTGGTCGGAGCCAGGAATGACGATGTACTCATTCGGAGGGTTGTTCTTGATCTGCCACCACTGGAAGGTCCCATCTCGCTCCTCGTCGCAAACCACGAACGCCCGAGCGACGGTGCCGTACTTCTCCTTGGTCACCACCGTGTCCTTCGCAGCTTGCTCTGGCTCCCATATCGGACTTGGCCTCACCAGCGTTATTCCCAGCTCCAGATCCTGCATTCATTCATGCAAAAATGCGTAAATTAAGGAGAGCATATATAGGAGAAAATGTTGTTACTAATACGACTTCGAATTTCTCATAGCTATCGTGATTATAACTCGTATTTTCTAATTATAGGTGAATAATTCGAAAGCTTTGGCCGGAAATATTTTCATCAATCCAAAATAATGAAAATTAGACGCTCAAATAACAAATATCGTCGACCTAGTATTCTCGTGCACGAGATTTCAGAATTGAGTCATTATGGTTAGGGGTGGCAGTCGGTCGGTTTCGGTTTAACCGAAAACCGAAAACCCGGTTATCGGTTAAACCGAGACACCTCCTATAGCTGCCGACCACCGACCGAAGAAAAGGTCACGGTTAGCCGACCAACCGACCGGCCGGTTCCGGTTTTAGGTTCGGTTAGCCGGCCAACCGAAAAAAATAATAATAAAACAAGAAAAACTCCACCACTCCTTCCTTATCTACTCCTCTCTCCTTCCTTCCTCCACCAGACCTCCTCTCTCCTTCCTTCTTCTTCTCTCACCTTCCTTCTCCATGGCCCATGCAAACAGATCTACAGGGGCGGCGATGCACGCGGCGACGGGCGGCGAGGCGCGCGGCGGCAAGGCGGCGAGGCGCGCGGCGGCAAGGCGGCGAGGCGGCGAGGCGCGCGGCGACGGGCGGCGATGCGCGAGGCGACGGGCAGCTCGGAGTCAGAGCAAGTTGTGGTGGCGGTGGAAGGAGGGGTAGCGGAGGAGGCGAAGAATCACCGGCGCAGGGGACGGCGGTGGTGGGTGCTCTGTTTTGTGTCTCTTCGTGTTCTTCATCTGGGGAAAGGGTTTTCGAAAATGGAGAAGGGAAATTAAATTTGGAAGATGATAAATTGGAGAGAGAGAGGGGGGGAAGGGATTTGGAAGGAAGGAATGAATGTTCTCTCTGTAAATGGGTTTCCACTTTCCAGTGGCGTTTGAATTGGGGTTTTGGTTTAATTAAAGGAATGGAATTCCTGTAATTAAAGGCCTGCAACTTGGAGGTCGGTTAGTGTCGGTTAGCCGGTTAACCGGCCTCGGTTTTTCGGCTAACCGCCTAACCATTGAAAGCATCCGACAACCGACCGACACCTATTTTTTTCGGTTTCCGGTTAGCCGCTAACCGGCGGTTACCGGTTAGACCGGCCGGTTAGCCGCTAACCGGCAACCGAACTGACAGCCCTAATTATGGTGTATGAGTATTGTTTTGAAGTCACCAAAACAGTGTCATTGTTTTATTAATAGCTTATTTTTCACTTATTAAAAGGTATCTGTTTTTTTTTTTTAACGATTTTATAGTAGTCAACAGATAAAATATCAATCACTTACTACACGCTGGTTCATACTCCGATTTGGTTCTAACAAATTAGGATCCATTCAGTACGAATGAATGAATGAATGAATGAATTACCTCGCGGGGAGAACAGCGGTAGGTCTTCGTCTCCATGTACTTGGGGCCAAGCAACACCGCCGTCGGAGGCTTACCCATGCCGTTCCCAAATATCACCTGAGAATCCATGTAGTCCGCCCCTGCTGACATTTCTTCGTACTGCATGCAATACGCGCGCAATTAACATGCACGGTGAGGGAAGGTAGCTAACTTAAAAATTTGATAATTATTATTAGTTCCTTGATACCTTCTCGGCCACGAGTTCGTAGTCGAAATCGGGACCCAGCATGGTGGCGCCAACGAACACAGCAACGGCGATCTTCTCAGGGAACCTCTCCATGGCAATACACAAGCTGAAACCGTTCATGCTGTGACCAACCAGCACCACCTTCTCCTTCTCGTCCGCCGGCTCGAGACAAGCCAGGAAGTCGAGCAAAGGCTCGGAGTAGTCGACCAGGTCGCGGACCTGGTCGACCTGCCTTGGGTTTATGCCGCAGGCGGCGAGGTCGAGGGCGGTGACCTTGTGGCCGGCTTGTTTGAGCTCGGCGATCACCTTGTACCAGCACCACGCTCCGTGGCACGCCCCGTGGACCAGCACGAAATGCCTCATCTTTTTTTCTGTAAATTTTTTGTTTTCGTTTTACGGTTTAGGTTGATTGAAGCAAAAGATATGATGTGGTTGTTTATATAGAGATGTTCCTCGGGTCGGGGACTCGTAAATTGGAGAGTGGGAGAGAATATCTATGTGGTGGAGGCGTTATTTCGATGTGACATCCACTAGTGTCTGTGTACATATAAAGCAAATGTGTAACTCAATGCTCACGGGTTTTTCGTTCTTCACCTAGGTTTGTCTTTTGCATTATTGAACAACCCATGAAAATGAAATGAAATGAAATGGTCCTAAGATGGTGAATAGAGAGATTTTAAGCGTAAATTGACATTGTTGGACCGCTACGGGTAAAGTCAGACAACCTTATATGTGGGCATCTTCTACTGATTTCTTTAGGGGGGTTATCGTTCTTTCATTTGCATTATTGAATATCCTACAAAAAGGAAATGAAATGGTCCAGAAGGATAACAATGAGTTTATACGTGGACCGTTTACCTCTCTGTACAATCTCTGAATCACACAAATTCCAAATGACTTGTGAAAAACCTGCTTGCACCATCCTAGATATTGTATGCTTCTATCTTGACAATGCCAATTTTTTTGTTAGGATTGTGACGTTAGTTGAAATTTTTAAAAAAATATCGCATGGCAAATCTGAGAGTAAAGGAGCAAAAATTAGAAAGACGCGAATGGCCGAAGCAATGAAGTGAGAGGATCGAGAAAATGCTTGAAGCATTTACACTCAGTTTGGGAAGAGGGGTAAATGGGAGGAGGGTGCAAATGTGAGGGGTAAATACAGTTTCCAACACATTTGCACCTGTTTGGTTAATTTGGAACAGTAGGGGGTGCAAAACGGGAGTGCAAATTTACTGTTTCGGCTTACCCCCCAAATTGGGGTGCAAGGGAAGGAAGGAAGAGAGGGGGAGGGGGGAATTATGGAATTTTTTTTCTTCTAATTGTGTTATATATAATTATATAATAATTAATATTATCAATTTCTTCTTTTTATAAATATCATTAATGTAAACATTATTCGGGGTTGACCATTTGACTCTGGAAACAAGTTTATCAATGTTCGTCAAGTCAAATCTAGATCTCTTGGTTGAATCGAATTTGCATTGAAAATTAGAGATACGAGGTGTATGTGGAAAAGATAGAGAGAAATTGTTTGGTTAACTCAGTTTATTTGACTAAATAGTTAAAACTTACAAATTCGAACGTGTTTGACTAAGTTTGACAATTTAAGATTAAACTAGACACGAAAACCCTATATAGGATGACCAGTTACAAGTTGAGCTTTGAGTTTTGAGATCGCTCGATCAATGATTATACAATTGTCATAATTAATTATTATTTGAGCATTATTATATAATAACTATTTTTAGTAAAGTATATTTATTATTATATAGTAATATTTATTTTATTATTTTATGATAATATTTTAAAATTTTAAAACTATTTTGTAATCTAAAATCTATTTTAAAATAATATAATTACTTACTTTTCATTCTATTTGCACCCCCCTACTTTTTCATCCAAACAACAATTTACCCCTCCACTTATACCCCCAACAATTTACCCCTCAACTTGCACCCTCCTGCAATTTGCACCTCCCTTGTTTTCAAACAGAGCGTTAAACAAGTGGTTTCGATATAGATACTTAATATACCAAACTCGTATCAAAATTATTACATCTGTTGTGGAGTTTAGGAGAAAACCTACCCAAACCATGTTGGTCATTTTCCCAAAATAAAATGGATTCTGAGTTCTCTATGGGTACCGCATCTCCCCAGTAAGATAGACTGCGGTTTTGATCACAATGCTGTAATATCTACAGGAACTACAACGCTACAACCATTAACCTTGTACATGCACATAGTCTATCGAGGCAACTCGCTTTCTGCCTGCAATTAGAGCTCCAAACTGCAAACCGGGAATGTCAGATCATAGCTGAAGCTGCAAAGCAGCACTTTTTCTTACTGCTACTTCCCTATGCTGAAGCCAAACACTCAGAAAACCATTGCCGTTGAGATGGTACGTACTACAAGCCAGAGTGATATGAAATGGCATGCATTCAACAGTCCGATGAAAAGTCCAGCAGCTTCTCAATGGCGTGGGTTTTGAATTAAGTCCATGATGAGCAATCATGGAAATCTAAAAACGTAATTGAAGTACCAGTCTATGGCTTCTTTAGCTTGGTTCTGTTTGATTTGGGAGCCGGATCAGATGTTCTAATAATGAAAAGGAGTGTTTCCAAAAGCATCGCGCCCACCAATCCCAGAATTCCACCAGCAGCGCTCTGCAATTATGAATTCAGTAGACAAGCACCAAAACTCAGACTCTCTGCATAAGCGCATATATAGCAGCAGATGGACAAAGAAACAATACAAACAGTTGATTTTCCTTTTATGACAACAGATGGTATTTACCATGGCAGGACTGTGGCCAAACAATGCTCTGAATGCTGCATACCCAACTAAATATCCAGTGAACATGGTGAGACCAACATGCAGACCTGTAGAGAGTTGGTTCAAGCATGATGGTAAATATTTCTAGAATTGCACAAATCCTCCCGAGAGAGTTATCCTACCTTTGCATAAGAACTCATAATTTGTGCAGTCAACATATTGAACATGATTCAGTTATGTATTCAGATAATATAAGTATATTAAGGGAAAAGAGTCAAAAGACTAAGATCAAGTTCATTTATTACTTAACATAAGCATCCTATTTCTCTACCAATCAAATTGTGTTGCCGCGATAAACCACATTGATCAATGTTCTTTCTAAATTTGGATTTGCGCCAAGACATCAATAACGGAAGAACGAAATGTGAACTCTTTAAGTACACTATACCAAAGCCGAGCTGATCCTTGTAAGAAGAGAAAGGTTCAGTTGTTTCTTTGCTTGGCGTGATATCCTTGACTAGCTCCTGATAGGCCTTTCTCTCAGCCAGTTCCTCAAGTTTCCTCAATCTCGCCTTTAGTTCTTCGCCCTAGATGCAGATAAATATAAATTGAATTCCAATCAATTTGGTAAGCAGAAGTTAAAACCATGATGAATGAGGCAATCTCGAACATGGAAGATATTACCTTTTCTCTTGGTTTAGGGGTGGGGAAGATGAATTCAGATCCTGATAAGAGAAGCATCAACTCTGGACGGCTGGAAGGCTGAGATCCCGTCCATATACTTCGGAGAGACACATAGTGCACATTGTCCTGTGACAACAACCTAGATGCAGCATCTTTTAGCTCCAGAGGAAGGTGTGTCTCATTGGATGCAGAACGGAGAAACCATCGAATTGAATCGGTGTTCTTGATAATCAATCCAGGGGAATTCATTGTTTGAACCTCAGTAGCAGAGCCCATCTGCATCAAAGGACTGCTACCTACAATGCCACCCACAAGACTACCATAAGTTCTTTTGGCGGGTAACATGCCAAGCTTTACCGATATAAGATCATTCCACATCATATATACGTTTGTTAAGATTCCCCATTTGATTGAACATGAATCGACATGAAGCTAACCAAACAACAGAACCCAAAACCCTAATCCGCTAAATTCCCTTCATTCACCAATCGAACAGAGAGACAGCTTCAGCATCAAAACACGGATACTGACGGCCGCCAAAGTACCTGAGATTAGAGTAACGGTGAAAGTTGGTGAGGGAACGAGAGACCGAGAAATTTATCGAGACCCAGCAAGGAATTAAGCGGCCACCTCCACGAAAGACTACGAACAGAGTAAACTGAAGCAACGACAGTGGCAGCACCGGCCGGAAGAGAGCGATCGCCGGCGGGGCAAAAGTAGCAGCAAAATTGATGATGGGTAGAAGTTAGGACCCGAGTTGGATCTAGCGATCTTCTGTTCTCCTCCTTACCACGGCTGCTTGGCCACTAATTGTGACTTCTGGTTACTGTCCAAACCGATGGACCGAGTCGAACAATAAGGGGTCATTTGGATCCAGGTTTTTAATTTGTGGGATTTTAGCTCAAATCACTGGTTTAAAAACCCAGGTTTTTAATTTGTGGGATTTTAAAATAGCTGATCACCATCAGCTATTTCACAATCCCACAATTGTGGGTTTCTGAAATCTCTAATATTTAAAATCTCTTATCATATAATTGCTTTCCAAACGAGTGATTTTAATAAAATCCCACACTATGTAGGATTGTGCCCAAATCCCACACCCAAAACCTGCATCCAAATGACCCATAAAAAGGCTTATACAATGAAGAATATAAAAATCAGATTAAAAAAGTGTATTCAATCCAATCTGGTCCAACTTTCATGCTTCAATATAGTCCGACTCAAACTAAAGTGGTTTAAATTAGTGTAGATTTTTCTTCGTCGGAACCTGTGCAGCTTTCAGGCCAGGGCCATGCTCAACTAGAGCCAGAGGTGTCGGGTCGGTTCGGATAACCGAACCTAAACCCAAAATAACCGAAAATTCGAAAACCGCTATCATTTGGAAACCGAAAAACTCTCTTAACGATTTTGGGTTCGAGTAAAGTAAAATCGAAACCCGAAAACCAAAGCACACTATGGAATATGAAGAATTGATATGACTTCAGATTTTAAGCCAAATCCGAAACCAAAAAAAAATGAAACCCGAAAACTCGTTACCAAAACTCGATCGAACGGTATTTTAATTTGATTTGATTCTAACTTCAATATGACCTGATTCGATTATGAGTGTTCAAATGGTTCAATGTCACAAAAATAAAATCTTTACTCGGATGAAACTTGCTCAAACCTGAAGCTAATTGATCTTAATATTATTTCAAAAGCTCAGGGTGCAATAAGAGACATGCATATTTCTCTACACCAATATACAATTCCCTCCCAAAAAGAAAAAGAAAGGTATCAAAAGTTATCTCTATTTTTCTTCACTAGGCATCCCAATCACACTTGCTTGATTGCTAATTAATTAGGCTTTTCCATCGCCTCAAAATTTGAGCGAACTCTCTTCACTGGCCAAAGGTTTGTGCTACATTGCATTTGCAGCCTCAAAATTTATCAGAAAGTTAAAAAGAGTACTGATCCCTCACCCTCCCTTCATTGGTTCTTCACTCCAAGTTGGGCAAACGCTTTCTCGAGCATGTCCACGCATGCAGGTAAGGAGTTCTTAAGCATCGGCGAACAGCTCTTGTCTCCTTCTTCGAGATCCTGGATTCCTTCCGCCCTTCACCAGACACCCGACTTGAGCACCAGACATGC